ACGTGAGGACGAGGGGGATTCTGTTTTGGTTGTTATTGTGGGGAGGGAACTGATGAAGCCCTTGAAGTACACAAGGAAAGTAGGAAAGAACCGAAACAAGGAAGAGCTAAAAAAAAAGGGTCATGAAAAGTTGTTAGCAAACAGGTTGAAGGAGAATCCCAAGGTTTTTTTTAATACATACATAAAAAGCAAGAGGGTAGCCAGGGAAAGGGTTGAATCTATTTGTGGAGACAGAAGAGGTAGGTGAAGTCCTAAACAAATACTGTGTGTATCAGTATTCACCAAAGATAAGGAATTGATGGAGGATGATCTCAGAAGGGAGTGTCGAGTTTCTAATCCAAGTTGCTATTAAAAGGTAAGAGGTGCTATGCATCTTAAAAAGTATTAAGGTGGATAAGTCCCCGGGTCCTGATGGGATCTATCCCAGAATGGAGGGAGGCAAGAGAACAAATTGCTGACCAATGACAGACATCTTCGTATCCTCTTTGGCCACAGGTGAGGTCCCAGGGGACTGGAGAATAGCCAATATTGTCCCATGGTTTAAGAAGGGTAACAGGGATAATCCTGGAAATTACAGGCCTACAAGTCTCATGTCGGTCGTAGGGAAACTATTGGAAAAGATTCTCGGGAACAAGATCTATATGCATTCAGAAGTGAATGAACTTATTAGCGATAGACAGCATGGTTTTGTGCGGGGGAGGTTGTGCCACACAAACTCTATCGAGTTTTATTTTTGAGGAGCTGACAAAAGATGATTGATGAGGGAGAAGCGGTTGTTGTTGTCTATGTGGACTTCAATAAAGCCTTTGACAAGGTCCCTCATGGCTAACTGGTACAAAAAGGTTAAGTCACATGGTATCAGGGGTGAGCTGGCAAGATGGATACAGAACTGGCTTAGTCACAGGAGACAGAGGGTAACAGCGGAAGGATGCTTTTCTGAATGGAGGGTTGTGATTAGTGGTGTTCCACAGGGATCAGTGCTGGGACCTCTGCTGTTCATGATCTACATGATTGATTTGGAGGAAAACATATCTGGTCTAATTAGCAAGTCTGTGGATGATACAAAGATTGGTGGAGTTGTGGATAGGGAGGAGGATTGTCAGAGGATACAGCAGGATATAGATCAGTTGGAGGCATGGGCAGAAAAATGGCAGATGGAGTTTAATCCACACAAATGTGAGGTGATACATTTTGGAAGGTCAAAACAGGTGGAAATTATACAGTGAATGGCAGAACCCTTAGGAATATTGATA